ATCTTGTGATATTGAAATTCTTGGACATCCCTTCAAGTAGTCTTCTGGGGACAATTAGATCTTGAAAATGTTTGCAAAGATCTGTGTGAAATCATAAATAGTTAAACACTTAGGCATCTTGCCGCAATAGCTTGGTTCCATTGATAGAACGCTATCTTAAAGAACCGTCCGGGTGCACGTGAGCAGAGGTTGCGGTGATGCTATCGGCACAGCCGGCTGGAGCAATATCGCCTGCTTCCTGAGTCCCCTTGTTATCGGCAATCGGAGATCGGACGTGCTGGGAGTCCTCACTTCCTGACTCACCGTGGCGCTCAGTTTTAAGACACGTCTTTGATCCATTCATCCTTCAATTAATATGGATGATGTCCCAGTAATATAACTTGGGGATCAACTTTTACTCCAAGATACTAATAATTAGGATGATAGAGAATGCTGCGCTTGTGCAGGGAGCGCAGCATATTTATAGAATTGTAGAGACATTTCGAGCGGACTTGGGACAGGATGATCTGTAGTTACTTGGACTCAGTGCTGGATTGATTCAAATATCCACTTTACTCCAAACCACCCTTTCACAATGTGACAAAGGCTTTTCCCACAACCGGGTGATCGTATCTTGCATGGCATTTAAAAAAAATAATAAATGGCTTCAACGGCACAGGTTTGCGTAAACCAAACATGACTATTGTAAGTGAAAAACCAACTGTTTCCACATGTGTAGACATGAACCATCTACTCACCAGGATTATCATGGTCTGTGTGTAGAGTGTAATAAAAGATTGGAGTCTTACCTTGTGGTAGACAGAATGGTACTTTAATATGACATAACTTGTTCAAGATCCTTTCATGATGTCCTTTAGTTAAATAACACTCTAGTTTAACTAGAGTAAGTGAAGACGCCACAGCAGCTCGGCGTGGTTCTATTTGATGGTATTGATAGTATGATAGGAGATTGAGCACAGATAAGATAGAGGATGGGACTTTGAGACACGGCTTCTCTATATCCTTATATTTGTCAGAACAAAGGAGACACTAATTACACTTGAAAACAAAATGATTTTTGTCAAATCTAGGCTTCATGAACACGGAGTGCCTTTCACCACAGTCTATTGAATCTGAATTTAGATACATTGCTTCCCATTGAAAATGGAATTTAACTTCGATTTGAGCTAGCTTTGTATAGAAAGAAATTTCACTTATCCCAAGCACACGTAGGTAGTTAGAGTTACTGTAAGTGCATCACATGTCTATACATGTAGAAGATAGATCGACTTTTGCACTTACAAAGTACCCGAGACTCGTTAGGTTACTTGCACTCACTGGTGGGGCTGAATTCCTGCAAGAATCAGGGGTCATTGTAGAAGTAAAAATATTCAATGATTCCGAATTGTCGATAATCTACAGAATGTGGAAGTAGAGTGAAGACGGGGTCGTGAGAGTGGGGAAACTATCACCAGTGAGGATAGCTACATCAAATATAGACTGGGAGATAGGAGGTACAAAGGTAATGTTGGGTTGCTGGTGTGACTTCCTGTTTTACTCAGTATTGGGGGAGGGAGATAAGAGAGCTCTAAATTATAATTAGATGATCGCGGGGGTGGATTGCTGTTTGTACTGACTGCATGTTACAGGAAGGACAACAGCCGTACATGTCAGGATGTTGGCGCAATTGAACTTTGGTGAAGCATGGGCATATCTTTGACCAACATTTAGATATGCACACAATAGGATCTGTATTTAGCAAAAATTTTGTAGTATGGAGCACAGGTCCGAAGTTGAGAAATTTCGGTCAGTACTTGGGACCACTTGGAAACATTGTAGGCCTTTGTTTTGTCATGTGGACGGAGTCTCCCTATTACAGTACTATACGGACTCTGTCTCTTGGGGTCCGCTTAAGACAGGTATATAAAATAATTAAAAGTAAAATTATAAAATATTTAAAGTTATTTTTAATCCCACGTTTTTAGTTTTTTTTTTTTTTTGTAAATGCTCACACAAAAAGGTTAAATAGAAATGACAAAAAATCGTTGATACGTTTAAATTTTTACCTTTAGTTTGATGCGCCTTATTTGAGTTCAATGAATCGTCATTAACACTGTATAATTTGATGTTATCATTACTAATTTTGCTCCAGTTTCTTTGCCCAGGTCCTGGATCCATGTTGCTCTGTCTTGAGCATTTGTCTTCAGAGCTAGAACAGGATGACCAGCCAATACAGGCGACCAAATTTCTGAAGTAATAGTTCCTGTACCGGGCCACGTACCTGATTTTTGTTTTTGGTGATATGAACAATGAAGTTAGCATATATATGACCGCGGGCCACATGACTCCTCCCTGCGGGCCTGGTTTAGGCCACCCATGCTCTAGGACTTTCTTCAGCATTCCATTTTCTCTTAATATACACGCGTGGACATTAAGGAAGTTTCATAATTTGATTTGCCATTCGTATTTTCTTTTTTTTTTTTTAAGGAAACGGAGGCAATTTTGTTTACACTTGGTTATCTCGTGTCTTCAATAAACGTCACTGCGTATCAAATATATTTCAGAGTTACTGTCTGAATCCCGATATACATACTAAAAGGTACAACTTCCTTAATTTTTCTACATGAGTGTATATTTTGTCTTTTTCTGCTGGCATTCAACCAGTCCTCCTTTCCTTTCCCAATCTTCTCTCTCCACACTTATAGAATCCCTTCTCAGTTACTGGAATATAACACCATTTATTTCAGTCCCAGATAGTCAGGGCCACCAAATAAACATTAATATAAGGTTGTCCCAAAAATTCATGTTTTTCTTGGCGAATAATATTATTATGGTGAATACATAATACAATTACCTTATACATGATACAAAGACATTATACATAACTGCGAATAATATTGGTATTTAATTTTGTTTCAAGTGTTTACCAGCTTTTGGGACAACCTTGTAAAAGGAGGGGAAGATGCGTTGCGAATGATTTAAAGTAAACGTTGTCTTGAAAATGCCGAAGGCATCATTAACCTAAACATTTACACACCCGTTCCAATTCTTCTTTTACTCAATATATCCAATCCTCCTTTACTCTTGGCGTTGGACAAGTCCGGTAAATGACGGCGGTTCTTTTTTCCTCTTTATATTAATGTTTTGAAAGGTTGTTTGTGATGCCTGGCCTCGTGAACCACACAACCACGCTACTTACAAAAAGAGATAAACAGTTTAATTAATCAATACCATTAAGCGCTAAGAATCCAATTAAAAATCCTAGAATTTGAAGTTGTGAAACATGTTTTGCGGCAATTTAAGATATTCCCAATTAAAACTGAGGCACAATACAAAAATTAGGGTGAGCTAGAAGGACGTTGTTGGAACTTCCTTCATCGGTGGTAGGATGGTCGATTGGCCAAACCGGTGGTCCTTGACCAATGGGACTGGAACAGCATCAGCCCGCCCCGTGAATTGTTGTTGGTGTCCTTCAAGTCAACTTTTGGTGACAAAAATTCTCAAATTTGATCTGTTAGTGACCATGACTCACAACTCATCTCTAGTGACTTCTGGTAGCTTTCTTGACCTCTTCTAGCCAGCTCATTGCAGGTCTTTCTCTCCTTTTTCCTTCAATTTTTTCCTAACATCAGCATCTTTTCCATAACATTTGTTCTCATTATGTATCCGACGTGGCTCTGGCACATTTGTAAGTGCAAAGTCGAATGGCTTTTCACATGTGTAGATATCGTCCCTACAACTGCAAACTATCGAATGTGAAAAATTCAATTTTGAAGGAGAGAGAAATGAAGAGACCATGTCATGGTCTCTTCATTTCTCCCTCCTTCAATGCCTTCCTCTACTGAGGGTAGGCCACATGGTCTCTTCATTTCTCTCTCCTTCAAAATTGAATTTTTCACATTCGATAGTTTGCAGTTGTAGGGACGATATGTGGTGCACTTATAGTAAAAGCAGTCGCCAACTTCTACCCACCATGGTTATCATGGCGTGTACCAGGAGTACTAGGGATAAAAAAAAGTATGTGTCCGAGGTATGTCAGTCTTTGTTTACATATTTAGGATTCTAGGGATCTAACTGGATTAAACACTGGATACAACAGTCCTATTAGATGGAGTAAACCATTCTACCCACGTACTCCATGGGTTACGATTTCAACTCGAACGTCTAGAACAATTTCTCCAAACATTTCAGATAAGATAGACACTCACTTTATACAATCTAATATTTTGAATATAGAGCAATCCATAATACATTTATATTTTAAAAATAGGCCTTACAATCTAATATATAAGACACTTTAGAAATACCAGAAAGAGTAGAAAATTACATTACGCTATATTACATAAACTTCTATAAAAGGTATTCGACACACCTTGCACATTGAATTCACCAAAGGCAGTGAAACTCACCGCGCGTACACCTCTCTCATCATATACCTATATAAAAATAATGCTCTACCAGGCGGCCCAGAAACAAGGGTGGGACTGTACACCCCGATACCTATGTAAATGGTGCTCCACGCCCCAGATATAAGGAAGAAACTTACCGTACATCCCCATACCTATATAAATGGTGTTCCACACCTCAGAGACAAAGAAGAAACTTACCGTACACCCCCATGGTCTTCCTCCACAGTAGGACGTCGTTCATCATGCCCACAGCCCGGTCCATGTCAGCCCGCTGGTGGGCGTAGAACCTCCAGACGTACCAGTCGCTGGTTCGGATCCTCTCCACGTCCTGTTCGTACCATTCCCCTGCGCACAGTCCAGTATTGGATATAGTCATTACGTGGTGGTTAACTCAGCGATGCTGGTCTAACCGCTCTTCCAACAGACAGTGTACTTTATACACAATCGTACAGACCACGAAGGGTTTGTTTGGTTATCCTCTTAGGTAACCCACACCTCGATATACTCGTATGTAGAAGCAGTGCTGGCTCAGTGGCCAAGCGGTAAGGCGTCGGTCTCGTAAACCGAAGATCCGGGGTTCGATCCCCTGCTGGGCTTATTACTTTTTGGCCTACGGCCATACCACATTGAAAACATCGGTTTCCCTCCTATCACCCAAGTTAAGCAATGTCGGGCCTGGTCAGTACTTGGGAGGGTGACCACTCGGTGCTGTAGAAGCAGTACTACTTTTGAAGTTACAAGATCCCAGAGCCGCATTTAGTTGCTTGCACCGAAGTTAGACATGTTAAAGTTATACTGCTCCCAGTCTTAATGACAAAGGCAGATGCATTTTACCTCACCCAGTCATGATGAAGATAAGAAAGAAGAAGATGTTAAAGTTATGGGGGGTCATTCAAGGAATTTATCATTTGTTAAAATATTTCCTCAATACACACGGGTTTCCAACTCGGGAAACCCACGTTATTCAAGTCGACAGTTAGAACCCTAGACGATGGTAGTTCTTATATTGGCGGAAATAAATAGTGTGTGCCTTCAACCAAAAGAATTTCGAGTCATTCGATTTTAAATTCTAAAGTTGCAACAATTCAATAGCAGCCTTCAAACTGAAAATTGTTTATGAGAAAAGAAGTTATAAAAATCGAAGAAAGTGTCAAATATATATAAAGGCAGCAATGATGAAAGAGAAGTTGCAAAATTATTTAAATTTAGAACTAAAAATAAACATTTAACCATCAAATTATTTTTTATATGATGCTAAAAAAAATGGCAATACTTGACAAAAAAAAAAGTTGGCTTCACGCCAAAATCAACCCCATCAATTCTTACCAAAGACCAAGAAACTATATTTGAAGGTCTTTCCTTCCTCTTAAACCTATTATTTGAATAAAATTTATTACCAGACCATCACGGGAACACCTAGAGTCTAATATTTTGTACACTTGCATTGTTAACTTGAATGAGTGAGTGTACAAAATTTTAGACTTCTACTTGGCCTGGAAGTATATTTTAAATTGATCACAATATTTAAAAAGAAATATAGAAATTAGTCCATTTCCGATAACCCAGAAGTCTGAAATTTTGTACACTGCAATGTTAGCATGATTTAATTATTCTATAAAATACCAGACTTCTACGTGGTCAGTAAGTATAAAAAATTAAATGACCATCTTTGATTCCCCACATATTTTATTTCCTTTTTCTTGGGATGCTTCTTTCTATTGGAGTAGCATTCAAGATGGTCGTCTTATTTATCATATTTATTATTATATATTTATTATAAGGCTGATTTGATTCCGAATATCCAAGGGTTTATGGTGAGACATCACCATGACCATGTTTGAAAGGAAATACATTTTTAAAATAGTCCATTACCACCCACCCAGAAGTCTAAAACTTTGTCAACTTACGTTTATAGCTATAGTGAGCGAGTCTACAAATTTGCATAGTTATGTATGGTCTGGAGGTATATTGATATTGATCTCAAAATTTGATAGTAAAAGTAGAAATAAAATTAGTTCATTGACGACCACTCCGACCTCCCAAAATTAGAAATTTTGTCAACTTGTAATTGTACCAAAAATTTCAGATTTCTAGAAGCTCTTTAAAGTATATTACAAATCGATAACAAAATAGGAAAAGGGAAAGGGAATATAGAAATTTGTCAATTGCCGATCAGCCAGAAGTCTGAAATTTTTCAACTTGCATTGTCATCGGGTTTTAACAAGTGTACTATATGTTGGACTTCTAGGTGCTCTGTAAGTATAATAAAATTCGATGGTAATATTTGTGGGCAGACAGATATGGAAGCAAGTTAAATAAAAGCTTTTTTAAAATATCAGCAAGTCTTATTCTATAGAGATATCGAGTTGATAAAGAGCACCTCTCCCTTTGTAAAAATGCTTTAAAATACATTTGCTTCTCGGCACGAAGCGCACAGTTTGAGATCGTTTAAGGTTCCACCAGCTTTGATAAACTCACCTGTATCTTGTTGGTCAAAGCTGGAGTTGTGAAACGACCTGCAGGCCGAGATGATCAATTAAGTTTTAATTCATTCTTGTAATTTAATACATTTGGGAAATTCGACCGATCTCATAACCTTTCTCGTAGGATGGTATGAAATCAAAGCCGCCCCTGTACTGATGAGAGCCAAAGCCTGAAACCATAGTATATAGGTTGTTGGCTTTTTGTCTGAATTTGCCAAAACTGGTATTGCGGCTCATTCCTTATCTCATTACTAGTAATTTTTTTTTACTAGGGTGATAAACAAATACATCGTTCTAATGTATAAGTAAAGGGAGAGGTGTCTCTTTTGGCACATGAATATCATCCTCTCGCAACTTTATATATTTATATATTGTGAGTAATCTATATATATAAAAATGAATGTATGTGTGTGTGTGTGTGCCTGTCTGTCCTTTATGCCTGACCAAACCACTCATTGGAACGCCATGAAACTTTGGGAAGTTATTTAGTATAGTACTGGGAAGGTTTCTAGCAAATAAAATTTTTGAAATAACTTTTCGCCTAGAAATAATCAAGATAAATATTCTAATTTATCTGTTATAATTCAACAATCTGCTCTAAATATTATCATGATGATATGATGATTTTGTAATGTAGAAAATTAGGAAAGACAAAATACAGGCAAGATACTATTCCTTTAACTTCCAATTACCAAGGGAACCATTTAATATTGATTTTATTCAACTTATCGAGTATTTTTCAAGGGACCGGGGAAAAAATGTTCACTTTATCGAGAGATTCATTAAACAAACCTTTACTCGGGTAAAACCCGGGCGAAGCCGGGTACATCCATACAAGAATAATGATACAATTCCAAGGCAAGATACTATTCCTTTAACTTCCAATTACCGAGGGAACCAATTAATATTGATTTTATTCAACTTATCGAGTATTTTTCAAGGGACCGGGAAAAAATGTTCACTTTATCGAGAGATTCGTTAAACAAACCTTTACTCGGGTAAAACCCGGGCGAAGCCGGGTACATCCATACAAGAATAATGATACAATTCCAAGGCAAGATACTATTCCTTTAACTTCCAATTACCGAGGGAACCAATTAATATTGATTTTATTCAACTTATCGAGTATTTTTCAAGGGACCGGGAAAAAAATGTTCACTTTATCGAGAGATTCGTTAGACAAACCTTTACTCGGGTAAAACCCGGGCGAAGCCGGGTACGTCCGCTAGTTATATATAAAAACATAAATCTATTTTAAAATATTGGATTGTTATAGCGAACCTTACAACAATGAAGGTGAATAAAATTGAAGGAATCTTTCTCAGATAGTTACTGGACAGTTAAAGGCTTGAAGCTACCATTTTAGAGTGTGCATAGAAATAGGATAAATATCCCATACGAGAATTTTTAAGAGTTAGCTAATATAATAATTAGCACGGTTTTAAGCTATATTTCAAGTAGAGGCCCAAATAAATTATTATGGCAACCCGAAGATGCAAAATCTGATCGGCGTTTTAAAGGCAGCACATTGCGAAGGGTCAAGAAATTAACCAGGGCGGCACCATGGATACAAGACCTGGTCGCTGGTTTTAGAGACCGCATGCTGTGAAGGCTCAAGGAATTGATCAGAGCGGCACCATGGATACAAGATCTGGCCTCTGGATTTAGAAACAAAATGCTGTGAAGGCTCAAGGAATTGATCAGAGCGGCACCATGAACACATAATCTGGCCGCTGGTTTTAGATACAGCATGTTGTAAATGCTCAAGGAATTGGGGTCAGAGCGGCACCATGAACACAAGAACTGGCCGCTTGTTTTAAAGACCGCATACTGCGAAGGCTCAAGGGCGGTACCACGACTGCAAGATCTGGCCGCACGTTGCGTGCTTACAACGCAAGGCTGCCAGAGTATATGTTGTCGCCAATTCTTGGTCAACACAACCGGCAAAAACGAAGGGTAGAGCGAGACATATTCCCACCCTCAAGATTTTTGGAAAGAAAGTTATGCATTTGGTGAAACTTTAAAAGCGTTTTTCATTTCAAAATTGTGCCAAATGGTAAGTCTATCAATGAAGAACTTTACTATCAATAGATAAACAATGTTTATGATGTGCTGAAGGAAAAGTACCGCGGTTTTTGTTTATAAAAAGTGGGTTTTGTTTAATCGAGACAATGCCAATCCCCACACCGCTGGAATGATTACGCAGAAATATAAATGGAGTTGATATGATACCAGATCCTATTAACAGTCCTGATACGGCCTTCTCTGATTAAGACATGTTTCGATCAATGGAACACTTTCTTCGAGGGCTCAAATTCGATTCAAAAGGTTGAAGAGGCATGGTTATAGTTTTTCAATACAGTCAATAATGGTTCTTGAAGTAGATGTTGTTTGTTGGAGAATCATGGGCATATATGATATGCCAATGTGAACATTGTTGAAGATCGTAGAAAAAAAAATTGTGAACCTATCCCGACGGTAAAAACCAACAATTTAGAAACTTTTTTTCTAAATAATAATCTCCTAGATATATAGTAAAAAGAACAACGGAGAGAAGGTTTCTTAAACGATAAAACACGAGTTTTCTAACATCACGGGACTTCTACAGGTATAACTCCAATGAACGTTAAGACGATTTTTATACGTGAGATAAATTACATTTGCATATATCTAAACTAAATATAAGACAAATTAAAAAAACAAGGATATATGCCAAAAAAGTCTATATTTACCAATGAGCCCAAAAAAGAGAGAATACACAGACACAGGGATATAGAAAATAATAAAAACTATATTTTTAAAACGATTTTATGTGAAACCTCAGTATACACGTGTATTTACTGTATCCACTGGCATCGTATATCTTCAGAAGCATTTATGAGATCTATTAATGTGTGCTGAGATTTCTTTGAAGGAAAACTAAATCTATTCTAAAATTAATGTTTGGAATTACTTGAGGGGCACGTCAAAGGGTTGTCAATTTTTCATGAAAAGTTTCAAAGAATTCGCGAAGCAATTACTTTTAAATTGAGGAAAATTCGCAGAACGTTCACGCTAGAAATAGGCGCTCATAACGCGACCTTCATGCAAATTTCGATCAATTTGAGAGCTACTCCGTGAATTTATTGAATTTCTCTGAGAATTTACATCATTTCTAGCGTGACCACTCCGCAATTCCTTGTAAATCTCCGTGAATTTTCCTCGATAATCTCTACTGACCAGAAATGACTTAT